TACCTACTGTGTGTTCAGCACTCTGCTAAGGTTTTATGTATATGTAAGCCTCACAACAATCTTATGAGGTAGCTACCATTAACTCATTTTTCAGATGATGAAGGAGGCTGTGAGGTTGTTTAACTGCCTCAAGGTCACACAATGAAAAGCAAAGTCTGGATTAAAACACAGATCTGTTTAACTCCAGAGGATGTGTTCTTAACTGCAAAGCTATATTGCTTGCCTTAAAGGATTTACAATGGGGCAGAGGATCAAGGAACAATGGACCAGATGTGTGGATCTAAAATAAGCCTGTATTTACACAAAGTGACAGGGTTGAGATTTAGAGCTTCTTAATCTGAGGTCCATAGACCCCTGAGTGTCTAAAAATAGATTTTGGAGGGTTTGTAACCCCCTAAAAAAGGAGTCAGCAAATTTTTTCTTAAAGGACCAGATAGTGACTTAGGCTTTGCAGGCCATATGGTCTCTGTTGCAAACATTCATCTCCACTGTTGTAGTGCAAAAACAGCTACACACAATATACAAATGAATAGGCAAGGTTATGTTCCAATAAAACTTTATTTATAAAAACAGGCCGCTAGCCCCAGGCTCTAAAATGGTATGCAACATGCATACTATGTGTATACGTGCATAGTAATTTTTGATGTTGTTATTAGGAGAAGATTCATAGCTTTCCATAGCTTCTCAAATAGGCTCAAAATTCAAGATGGCTAAGCAGTTGTCTAAATGGTCTCCAAGCCCCTCTAAACTTAGACATTCCAGGATTCTATGATTCTACATGCCTTTTAAATTAACACTCTCAGAGATTTTTTTCTCCTTAGCAGTCTCATTTGATGGATTCTGCTGTGAACTCTTAAGTGGACTATAATTACTATCTGTTGAGAAGGAAACATAGGACGCATTACCATTTCAACCTTCCCTGGCTTACCTGGCCAGATGACGCTGGCTGAAACACAAATACAATCCAGACTGGAATACAGCAGGTCAGTCCTGCACCAGCTAGTCTGAGGTTTGCCGAGGCTTTCTCCTCTTTTCAGAGACCACTTTCTGTGTTCCATTGAGCCTTCACCTCAGAAAGCACTCACTTGTCCTGACCACACTGATACATAGTTTGGATTCCTGGAGTCAGCCAGGTCTGCCCAGGTATGGTGTGGAGGGTGGGACATTGCTGGATGTGTTTGCCTGATGTATCTATGCATCTGCTCTGGGACCCTCTCCCAAGGAAACGTGGTTCTTTCTCTTAGGATTCTCTAGCTTCACGAGTTAGAGCATCTTATTTACTTCCTGCGATGGCACCAACATGTACCTTTGCCCTGTCTCCCACTCCATGGGACTTGTCTTCCCCCAACTAGAATCTTTAGGTGGAGACTGCTGATTATATTCCATTGTGTCTGCCATAGAGCTTGGTACCATGCTTTGCATACATTTTTCAGGTTATTAGCACTGAGATCCCTGAAAGCTATAGCCAGTTTTAAATCCTTGCATCACTTGAAAATCAAAATAATGATTGTCCAATCAATTTGAATAAAAAGCAGGATTGACTGCTTTAAATTTTAGGAAAAAAGAGAGATATTAAAACAAGGAATTACAAATACTATGAATCATAATGTGATTGCATTCATATTCCAGGTTTCTGAGAATAGAGAATTGAGCATAGGGGAAGAAAAGGAGAAAAAAATAGAAGGAGAGAAAGAAATGATAGAGAAGAAGAGAATGAAACAAAGAGAATGAAGAGACAAAGAGGAAGACAGAAGGAAAGGATGGATGCAGAGTGAGTCGGTATGCTAACCAACTACTGCTGGGTTGAAATTCGGTGTCATTAGGATGCAGCTATTTCTCACAGCAAGTGCCCCCCCAAGAAGGAAATAAACCAGCAAATGAAAATAACGGGACTATAAATCATTTAGCCAGTACTTCTGGAGACTTTATTCCATATTAGTCTCCTGTATATATCACATCAGGATTAGTGTTAGCTCTCCGAAATGAAACATCAATAAGGGGACCACCTGGTGCTGGCAGTACCTCCAACTAATATTTCAGTTCAGCTTTAATTAACACGTTCATCTGGCAGCAGCATGGTGCCACGTAAATAGAAACGGGTCATGGGAGGCCTGGGTTCTTGTTCTGGCATATCATTATCTGACCTTGGTTCGCCAATCTCTGTGCCTCAGTTTCCTCATTTGTCAAATGTAAATAAGAATTCCCTGCTCTGCTTATTTCACAAGTGTGTTAAGAGGACGGAAAGCAGATACACACACACACACACACACACACACACACATACTTGGAAGAGTATAAAATGCCAGATAAATGTAAAATTGACCTTGTTCTTTTTACTTAACAAGGTAGTGCGTAGGCGGGAGGTGGGGACGATGGCATTTTGCACAGAAGGCTTGGTGACTCAATGAAGTGTCTTTTTTTTCCCTTTGTAATATCTGGTCTGGGATTATTACTGCTTTCTTGATGTTTTTAGACATACTTTTCTCCTTCAGAAATGCCAAAGGTGAAAAATACTATTCCACTGCTATAATTTGTCACCCTTGCTGCCTGAGCAAGACGTGCATAGACAGTTCAGTAATTAAGCTTTTCAACACTGCATCATAAAGTTTTATTCTGGCAAAGGCTATATTTATCAGCTAACAAGTATTAAATCACCCCACTGCTCAAGCCGTTTCTCACTTGAATATGCTCCTTTCAAAACAGAGCAGCTTTCCTTGGCTGGCTTGATTAATAAAAGTTCTTGTTTGGAAATATTGTGGTACTGTGTGGTCCTTTGGGGCTGACAGACATACATGTTGGCAACTGTTCCAAATGGTGCTGACCCCTGTTTCTTGGGGGAGTTGCATACCTTAGTGCTGGGTCTTTTAGGGCATCCTGGCCATCTGAGTTTCCTGGCCCCCTGGGATGGCTTCCAGCACAAGATATTCTCATATCCATTTGAATTTCTAAAGGAGAAGAGGTAAATGAAAAGACAGAACACAAGCATTTGATACATTTTATTTCCTGATTTGACCATCAGGGAATTGGTCTGTTCCTATCACAGATGGATCTAAATGTAAAATAAGTTTTCAAAACGATTAAAATAGCAGAGTAACAATGAGGTACATACTAAGCAGGGTTGAGTCTTTTCTCATATTGCCATAGTCTTCTCAATGAATTATTAGGGAAACATACTTAGCATGAATAGATATTAAAAGTCATCAGTAATGGCTTAGAAGAATACTTTCTCTAGGTAACCCATCCCACCTTTATAAATCATTTTTTTTCTCTCTTCTTTGGAGGATATATATTCATGTGACGAATATAATGTTGTTCTTAAATCTTCAGGATGCTTTCAGTCAATTGGCTCCGGAATTATATTCGTTAAAAGCAAAATAGTTAGTTAATACACTTGAATATATTTTCTCCCATATTTTAAGGATAAAACCAAAATAAAGACAAATTTTAATCAAATATGAGCCAAAATGATGAAAGCAATCTCAATAATTTTCATTATGTCATACTAGAGAGCCCATTAATTTTCCTTTTCTTTTCTCCGCTTTCAAAAATAAGTGACATTAACCACATGTAGGCATTTCAGTTTTTCATCAATTGATTCCTAAAAGGACACATATAATAACATTCCACAGGATCACAAAACCCACTTTGTAGGTACATAAGCAAGTTCTGCCCATGCCTATGTATGTAAGCAAGTTCTGCCCATGCCTATGTATGTGTATATATGAGAGTGGGCATATAAATGTGAATCATTAAATACTACCAAGGTAAGAAGTCTTTTGTTGAACTTTTCTTAGTTTGAAAGGCTGCAACAATTTCTTTCCTTTCAAAATGATAAAATAGAACTCACCATTTTATTTTTCAAATTAGCAACAGGTAGCTTGTTTGGAAGGCTGGGATCGATTTCTCTCCAGCCAGCAAGTCACGGGTTTGTCACTGAAGCATGTGGGTGATAAGCTGAATCACTAAGTTGGCAAATATTGAACTATTTTAAGTGCATCTATTTTCTGGTTCAGTAAATTTTTTTGTTGTATTAAATTCATTAAACTTGACACTGTCTAAATGCCACAGCACATACTGGAGTGCCCATAAAGGTAACAGCACCAGCACAGGAGATGACAAAAGCTGAAGATCGATATATTTCCACTCAGCTTCTATTTAATTTTTATCTTTCATATTGAGAGTGGATTTTTTTAAGGTTAAAAAGTATTGTGTGACTAAGAAAGTCAAGTTGAATCTGGTTATTTTCTGAAAATTTGAAGAGAGTATTCTTTGTCAGTCAAGTTGCCCTCCAAACTGCATTCTTAGAGATGATGGCAAGTATGACCTACCACTCAGAAGCATTTAATAACTTGGAAGAGAAATGAGAAACAAAAATTACACTCTGTTATCCACAGTTTAGAGGAACCTTGTAGATTGCAATTTTCAAAATTATTGAATCAAGGACATACTTGAAGATTTATAATGAGGCCTTGATAATGATTATTCTTTATTTGGGATTAAAATTTTCAAAAGGATAATAATGGTTTGGAACATGAACTGTTACTTTGATTTGACATAATTTTGGGGGAGGGTCATTTGTTATTCTTTCTTTTTTTGGTGAGGAAGATTGTCCCTGAGCTAACACCTGTGCCAATCTTCCTCTATTTTGTATGTGGGATGCCACCACAGCATGGCTTGATGAGCGGTGTGTAGGTCCACAGCTGGGACCCGAACTCGTGAACCCCAGGCTGCAGAAACGCAGCACATGAACTTAACCATTATGCCACTGGGCCGGCCACTCATTTGTTATTCTTAAGCACTACTTTTCCTCCAACAAGGGGTAGTCATGGCAATTCAGAAAAGTGGCAAAATGTGTAAGGTACAAGGAATATACATTCTAGCATGGGTCGTAACTATTGAAATTATAAAATTGATTTTATACTCCATATGAAAAATGACAATAAGTAAAGAACAAATTTCCAGTAATTTCTCTCAATGAAATAGAAAATAAAATAATAACAGAAAACTGTGAAAACAAAAACCCAAAGTAGAGAATAAGGAGAACATAGAGAATATGGATACAGTTACTAAATATGATTTTTTAAAGCTTCTAGAACACATAGGGCAGAAGTGATGCAGCCATCAAAGTTGGACTGAGTAAATCCATCCCCTCCACACACAAGGAGAGGTTTGAGATGAAGAGTCATTTGGCCAGGATAGTTGGCAGCAGCAATTGTAACCTGAAAAAGTAAAAAAGAAAAAAGGATTGCAACTGACATTCTGTGCTCTATTGTGCTGTCACATCAATGCCTACCTGGGGAAGGCTTCTTTACCTGGAGAAATCAAGATGTTTCACAACGAGCAATGGAAAACAAAACCAAGACCCCCTAAACTCCTCCCCTTGCCCAAGTGTTTACATTGACATTCTTATATGTTTACATTTTCAGTTATTTGTTAGGATAATCAGAAATGTGTTGAACTTCAAAATTAGTAGGTTATGATATGCTAAATTAGTTGAAATATAGTGATGTTTTTTAGAAGGGGGAAATGATATTCATGAAATCATTCACCAATTATTGAGTATCTGCTATGTACCAGATGAGGTGGATACAAAAGAGATTTAAGGGCAGTGTCCTCAAGGAGTTTCCAGTTCAGCATGACTGCTGGCACACAACAGTGTCTAAGGGCTAAGACAGGATGAAGGAGAGGGTGTTATGGGGACACACAAGAGGGGGCCCAACCCAGCACACCCAGATAGAGAAAGCTTGAAAGGGGAGGTGCCTGGTCATTTCACTTGAGTTCTGAAGGTTGCATAAAAGTTTGCCACTCAGGGGACCAGCCCTGTGGCTTAGCGGTTAAGTGTGCGAGCTCTGCTACTGGCGGCCTGGGTTCGGATCCCAGGCACGCACGGACGCACTGATTGTCTGGCCATGCTGAGGCCGCGTCCCACATGCAGCAACTAGCAGGATGTGCAACTGCGACATACAACTATCTACTGGGGCTTTGGGGAGAAAAAGGGAAAAACAAAGGAGGAGGATTGGCAGTAGATGCTAGCTCAGGGCCGGTCTTCCTCAGCAAAAAGAGGAGGATTGGCATGGGTGTTAGCTCAGGGCTGATCTTCCTCACAAAAAAAAAAAAAAAAATGTTTGCCACTCAAGGAAACAGGGATAGGGCTTTCCAAAGAGAAGGAGTAGCATGTGGAAACGCTCACAGTCTATGGACACTGAGTGTATGAGAACAAAATGTGTTTAGGAATCTACAGGGCAAGCCACATTTGTGTATTTGTGTGTGTGTGTGTGTGTGTCGACTGAAGGAAGGGACATGGCCGAGAGGCAAGATAAGAGAAATATAGTGTTTCAAATTTTAAAGATAAAAAATTTATAAATCAAAAAAGTCTATTAAAAGTGTAGATTTTACTATTTATGAGCCAAAAGTGGGGAGAATCAGCTGAAGTCTGGGATTTATTTTATTTTGTAGAACCAGGTTTATAATATTTAAAATGATGAAAAATATATAGAGGTTATTTCCTGGAAAAAAGTTATTCTCAAAATTAGAATGGATGTTGCTAATAAGCATTCATTGTCAGAAGAAGGAGCAGGAGGTAAATGTAGTTATCTTAGATACTGAGATGGTTTGGCTACTGAAAGACCAAAAACTCCCTAAAAAAACAAATTACACAAACCTACTATAAAGGCAATTTCACTCAGGACCGCTTTCCTGCACAACTTCAGGGGGAGCCATTCACATAGACTACAACATGCCAGTTCTGGTCTCTCCCCTACAGTGTTTTCACGGAGAATAAAAGAGTATGGCCCATGAGGACTTGCTTGTTGAAAAATCACACACAAAAAAATCCAGAAATGTAATAAATGCTATTTGGACTATGGAGCTGAGATTTTGGTTCTAAATAGGCAGAGTTAGTACATGTTTTTTACAATTTTTTAAAACTAGAAAAACTTTGCATAGATATTTTTTATTTATATGCCATATTTTACTCTAAAAATAGAGGCAGTACAATTATTTTATTGTTGAATCTGAATCTCTAGAGATATGGACCTTAAAACCCATGTCACTCAGATACAAATGTAAGATGTGAAGAGTATCTTCTCACTTTTCTGGAGGTCACTTGATAGCAATATCATCTATCACAGACATAGTAGATAATTCTTTTTTTAATTAAGCCATAGTTTTAATTTATGTTGAATTGTAATTTTTTCCCCAGCTTTACTGAGGTATAATTGACAAATAAAAATTGTATATATTTAAGATGTACAGCATGATGTTTTGATATACATATACATTGTAAAATAATCACTATAATCAAGGTAATTAACACGATGTACTCAGCAAATTTCAAGTATACAATACAGTGTTATTAACAACAGTCACGTTGCTGTACATTAGATCTCCAGAACTGACTCATCTCACATAATTGAAACTTTGTACCCTTTGACCAAAATCTCCCTATTCCCCCCTCCCACCAGCTCCTGGCAATCACCATTCTACTCTCTGCTTCTATGAGTTTGACTGTTTTAGATTCCATATATAAGTGAGATCATGCAGTATTTGTCTTTCTATAGCTGATAATCTTAGAGTCAGCACAAAAGATCTCTGAGCGGCTAAAATAGATAGCACATAGTGCAGGCACTGAAGCACAGACTTGGATGTTCAATCAGAGCTTTTAATCTCCTGCTTTAGATGGAATTTTTAACAAGATGGATGATTTGATTTATCAGTGAAACACTAAGGGAGGAAGAAAACTGCTTGGTTCCTATATATTAGAGATTTTAGAATGTGAATAGTTTTGATAGTCTGAAAGCAAAGGATTAACACAAAAACCAGACAGCTCTAGAAAGAAACTTGGCAGTCAGGTGCCATTTAGTGGAGAGGCAAACCACTTTCTGGCTCTTAATGGGCCCTGAGGGTGCCGGCTACTAGTTTTCCTGTAATTATTAATGCTCATGATGATGGCCCCAATATTCAAGAACTAATTCTAATATGCATAAAGTATTAATGGTTAGCATTTCTTGAATGTTCACTGCATACCAAATGCTTTACATGCACACCCCATCTAATTCACATAGGAACTCTATGAGGTGGTTACCATTATTCTCATCTTATAGATAAGCAAGCTGAGACTCAGAAAGATTGTTACTTGCCCAAGGACAGAGAGTTAGGAGGTAAAGAAACAGGGATTCGCACAGAGCAGGCTGAGTCCAGAACTCACCCTTCCAACACTTTCAGAAACATTTCCATAAAGATATGATTTAAGTAACCCAAAACAAAAATGTTTGATAGTCACTTAGTTTTATGCATCTGGAAAATTTACGTAAATGGAATAACTTATTCATATGTATTCATATATATACATATGTGTGTGTCTATCTATGTATAATTTTTCACACACATATATAAATCTACATTTGTTGTAAAATTTTGATACATTCCAGTTGATATTCCTGTATAGATAAACCTTGGCGTTATTAAACATTACACAAGTATTAAGCAGGAGGGAACTTAAGGGAAAAAGTTCTGCCCAGGGGTGAGCTGGTAATTTATGGGTGTTATGTAATTTCATTTGATGAGTGGTAAATGCCAGATGCCAGATGCCAGATCACATGGCTGGAAAACTGGGCCACTGATTAGCCAGTGCGCAGTTTGGATGAAATCAATCTTGCTGCGTTTAGGTGGAATCGACCATTTTGCAATTACCCAATGAGGAAAATATGAAAACATGAAGTGTGTGTTGGCAAGCTTCTTCACCCATGTGAAGTAGGGAGCCCTGCAGTGGAGAAGCACGTAATTGTCAAACCCACAATCTCTCACAATAACGCAGCCTTTGGCCATGCTTCCAGCCGCAGTGAGGAACCACAACTCAATGACTGTGTTTGAGAGAGATGTCAGGGCTGAAACAACCCCTGGGACATCCAGGTTGCTTCGGCTCACATGCGTGCCAGGGAACTCTCGCTGCAGATGCTGCTGCTCCAGGGTCACTAATGTAATGTTTCTATCAACTTAGATGATGACTGGACTGGACATATAAATTCAAAGCAGAAAATGCAGTTTTATTTCTAAGCTATTTAAACCCATGTGAAGGTGTTTTGTGACTTCTCTCCACCTGCAGAATAAAATACAAACTCCTCAGCCCCACGTGGAAGGCCTTTCATAACCAGATCTTATCTCCATTCAAGCCTCATCTCTTGCCACTTCTCTCACCTCTGCCACACCTCCTATCTACATTCAAACTAAGGTTCTTCAAACACATCCTTCCGTGCTGTGCTTCTGTGACTCTGAATAAGCCATTCTGCTTGGTGAAGTTGTATTGTTCCCTCTCTTTTCTGCCAAGTAAATTGCTCATCCTTTAAGAACCAGCACAAATGTCATCTGCTCTCAGGTCCTTCTTGCTCTGCCAGGCAGGGTAAGTGTCTTTTCAGCATGTTATTTGTATCTATTATGTGACTTGCTATTTAGCACTGTAATTATGTCCATGTCTGTCTCCCTTCCTAGATTGCACGCTCCTAAGAGTAGGCACTGTGATGCATTAATCTTTGTGTTCAAGGCTGACGATGGTGTCTAGTCCATATTAAGCATGCAATAAACGTTTATTGAGTTAAAAAAAATAGAATATTGTACACACAGTTGATCAAATGAAGATCTTCACAGGGAACCAGCTACACAAAGAGCGTTATTCAGAGGCTCCCAGAGAGCTGGCAGAGGCTCAGATGGAAGAGCTATTGTATTTAGAAGGCTCGCAGTAACGACGAATGGAGGTCTGTCCTCTCGCCTCGGGTTGCAAACTGCTTTATGTGAATGTCTCGTACGTCATGTATTAAGTTGAATCACACAAACTTATTGATTCTGTAGGTCAGAAATGGTAAAATATTGTCAATTTCTATATAGTTTAACCTAACAGTTTCTTTGTATCATGATTATTAATTGTAAAAATTCAGGGGCCGGCCCCGTGGCTTAGTGCTTAAGTGCGCGCTCTCGGCTACTGGTGGCCCGGGTTTGGGTCCCGGGAGCGCACTGACGCACCGCTTCTCCGGCCACGCTGAGGCCGCATCCCACATACAGCAACTAGAAGGATGTGCAACTATGACACACAACTATCTACTGGGGCTTTGGGGGAAAAATAAGGAGGAGGATTGGCAATAGATGTTAGCTCAGAGCTGGTCTTCCTCAGCAAAAAGAGGAGGATTAGCACGGATGTTAGCTCAGGGCTAATCTTCCTCACAAAAAA